ACACCTTTATGGATGCCAAACCAGTCGGAGTAGACCCCGTTGATCCTAACACAAGCACTAGAGTCCCTATAAAGAGATTCCAATGCCTGTATCAAGCCAGCGCTCAACCCAAATGAGTTCAGTGTTTGCCATAGCAAATTCCTATCCACTCTGTCATAGGCCTTCTCCAAGTCCATGAACGCATAAAAAAACCTTTTGGTTTTTGGCTAAAACTTCTCCGCAATCATGCGCATGGAGAAGACTTGATCTGTACATCCCATTCCCTTTCTAAATCCCGCTTGCACATCCCAAATTTTTCCATCGGTTTCTTTCATGACCCTTTCAATTAGTACCTTGGCATACAATTTTCCCACGATGCTAAGAAGGCTGATACCGCGGTAGTTTTTACAGTCCCGCTGCGACCCTTTTCCCTTATATACTGGGACTATCACGGCTTTGCACCAGTCTCCCGGTACCCGCTTCAGTTCCCAGCATACATTAAACAAGGTGTGCAGCAGGCCTGCCACCACTTCCTCTTCAGCCATTAGCATTTCGAGTGAAACTCTATCATAACCGTCAGCCTTACCTGCTTTCATGCTTTTCATTGCTTTCATTATTTCATCTATACTTATCTCGCTACCTCCTTCCTCTTCTTTCGGAGTTCCTATTTCATTCATTTCATACGTTGTCTCCTCACTCATAAACATGCTTTCAAAATATTCCTTCCATCTCTTTAAACTCAAAACTTCATCATTCAGAATATAGCCATTCTCATCTCTTATAGCATTCATTATAAGCTGCTTTGAACGTCCCCTGGCAGTTCTTACGAGTTTCCAGAACATTTTAATATTTGCCTGGAAGTTATCCGATATTCTTCTATCATTCTTATCCGTTCTTTCTTGCTTTTTCCTTTCAACTACTTCTTTTACTCTTTTATTTAGATGTCTAAAGACTACCTTTTTTCTTTCAAAATCATCATTCGTACCGCTAGAATTACCAGCCTTAGTTGCCAGTAAATCTAGCCATGCTCTCTTCTTTGCTTCAACTTTCGTACGTATCTCATCCTCCCACCACAAAGTATTATTTTTCCTTCCATTCTTTCTTTTACTAACACCACATACTTCGGTAGCTGCATCTACTAAACCTTTCTTAACATTTTGCCATACATTCGCCAAGTCTAACTCATTCATACATAATTCATCCAAACCACTTACGTTTTCTTTCAGTCTACATTTAAACTTGTTTTTCTCACCTTCATCTTGTAATCTTTCTGTTCTAATACGCTGTAACGCAGTGGTAGACACAGATGACCGATGGCGCCACCGCCTGAATAGACCATTAATTCGGCATAAAACCAAAAAATGATCCGCTCCTACGTTTGACCCCCGGTAAACCCTTGTATCCACCACGGCGCCCCTCAATCTTTCATCCACAATTATTAAATCTATCATGTTTCTATCATCACCTCTTTCCCAAGTATACATGTGAATCCTCTTGTGGCGAAAGAAAGTGTTCGTCACAAAAAGATTCTTTTCCATACATACAGTGAGGAGGCTTTCACCATTCTCATTTATACTTTCATCACCAAACGTTCCCAATATCCTTTCATAACCAAGCCTCCTCACCCCAACTCTTCCATTAAAATCTCCTAGCATAACAACATTTTCATTTCCCTTACATTTCATTAATACCATCCTTACCATTTCCCAAAACTGCTCTCGGATATGAGTGGGCTTAGACATGTCTGGGGCGTAGACCCCTAGCACAAACAACTTCTTTAAGCCCACTTTCAATCGTATCCATAGCAGTCTTGGGCTTACACATTCATACTCTTTCACACATTGCACCATTCTTTCTGATACGATGATACCTACTCCCTGGCATGCCCGCTCGAGCTCGTCTACACCAGACTAGTATGCGGTATACATGCCATGTGTAGTGACATCCTTCCCCTTCCGTTTCGTCTCATTTACACATAACAAATCTATTCCTCTATCATACATCACCTCGCATACTTCATCCATTTTATTATTCATTGCTCCACATACATTCAACGTAGCCAGACGGGCCTCTGCAATCCACTTTTCGCCCCTCCGGGAGACAGAACGTGACGGGTGGCGAGCCTCGTTGCCGGTTTTCCTCCCGGAGATTCTTCGCACCCCTGCCCCATTAAAGGGGCGCCGGGAACTCGGGGCCATTTCTTTAATTTGATTCCTCATGGTGCGAATGGGATGGTATATTTAACGCCGCTTTACCACGGCGAGGAGCCGAGTCTGTGCTATCGGCTTGTCGCTCATTTAGCACCACCCGGGGACACGTGTAGGGTGGGCCTAGGATTAGGTGGTCAAAGCCTACGGACGCGAGCGACTTATCCCCCAAATCTAACAATAACCTAAAAACAAACTGAAAGCGATTTTCTAGTAGTATTCATCGGTATTTTAAGTTAAAATAGTGCACACTTGAATAATAGTACGTATAAAACTAAGCTGTAGGTATATTCAGCATTTATAAATATTTTAAAATCGATGTAAAACCTTTCACTAGTTCGGGCAAAACATAGTGCCTGTCTATGCATAAATGTCGTATGGATTCTAACTTTGACATGTATTGATTGGTTGTGAGTGTAATTCTAAATACCAAGATGGCTAAGGGATAATGTCTTGAATAATAGTACATATAAAACTAAGCTGTAGGTATATTCAGCATTTATAAATATTTTAAAATCGATGTAAAACCTTTCACTAGTTCGGGAAAAACATAGTGCCTGTCTATGCACAAATGTCGTATGGATTCTAACTTTGACATGTATTGATTGGTTGTGAGTGTAATTCTAAATACCAAGATGGCTAAGGGATAATGTCTATTTATATTTATGATATTAACAACACACCGTAAGATACCTTTTAAACTGACTGTATTACAAAAAACAAAATATAATGTAGGTAATTCTATTTATTATTGTAAATCATAATTTATTTAAGTATTCTATTAACAGTAGTAGGTACAGAAACAGAAACCTTTTATTAAATTTAGATTATAAATAATACTTATTGAAAGTCACGTTTTTAATTTATCACTGGTTCGCAAAAAAACCTCTGACTTGAAGAGAATCAGCAAAATACCCAGTGGGTCTTTTAAAAAAAAAGCCAGCTTACAATCATGTATGTCATAATTAACAACACAGAACAAATTAGAAATATCTTGGTAGCGATCACCTTACCAACGGGTTATTGTCAGCCATAAATTCCTTTATATTATAATAACCCCTTTTATACAAACTTAATTTAATACATTTTTTGAACTTTGATGATTGACTGACATATATATAGACAGGAGCGGGGTCAAGACATTATTTTAAAATGTTTTGGTTGATTAGTAAGTAGTATACATCATAATAAAATGACTAGGAATTAACATGCCTTATCTATGTTATTACACAATTATAAATAGTGAGGAAGTAAGATGTTTTAAACTGTTTGTGTAAGGATTACAAAAACACAGGCTTAATTTAAATGTATTTATTACTAGCGATGCGCCTCAGCTGTGCACTGGTGATTTATGGATCTCGACAACAGTGCCATCTACCGAGTCCAAATGTAAATATAAACCATCTAACGATCCATCCAAACACACACAAACATTTTCATTTAAATTGGTTGGTAGGTTTCTTATGTTTTGTCTATAACGGACATAGGTAGAAACATTTTAGTGTTAGATATATTTCTGAAGGTTTTTTGAAAATAACTTCATGGTAACATGTACATTTATGATATAGTAAGCAATCAGAAGGAATTTTCAATTATAAGATATATGATATAAGACTGTTGTCTTCAATATCCATACACTTTTGTCTCTGCAAGCTTTCAGCCTGCACGGCATACAGATTTGTTCTAAGCGATCCACCTGAAAAGAAGTTAATGACAATTTTAAAGATGTCTTAACTAAATAATATTTCTTATCAATATATTATTTTTTTCTATATATTATATATTCTATACGAATTAAAAGGACATTTTTAATAATAAGAGATATAAGACTATGCCTTCAATGTCAATAAACTGTATTTACATATTTCTGTGAGCATTTTCTTATATCTGCCTTTTCATATGTTAAATAATAAAGAAATTATTATAAATTATACAGCATTAATCATCTCCAGCTGATCAAATACAGAAGCAGTAATTATTGATTAACATCAATGTATTTGTGTAGTAAGTCTTAGTATGTTTAAAGGCAAACATTTTATGTGGTTGGTGGACAGGGCTTTCTATAATATTAAGGAGTTTTTTAATTACAAATAAATTCACTTGATCATGAATATAATGTTTGTAATGTATTTTGATTTTAAATATGACTACTATAATAATAAAAATAATTGTACTGTTTAAATAATAACTAATTTTAATTCAATTTAATTCCATTCAATCTGTTTGTAATGAATTATGATTTTAAATATGAATACTATAATAATAATAATAATAATAATAAGGCGTAGGGAAGTGACGACCCCATCGCCCGCTGACGTAACGGTTATGTGACAAAACCGCTACGTCAGCGCAGTCAGTCAGCACCTTGCCAAGAGGTGTTAGTGCCGTGCCTCGGCAAAAATTGAAGATGCAAAGGCCCGCTTGTGCACATGGCCTCACCATGAAACGGCGCCGGGTCTGGGCGTCTCCCGCTTAAATGACGCCCACCACTATGGATGATGGAATACGGAAGAACGCGCAAAGGGCCGCTGCCTGGAGGTCGCCAGGGCGCGTCTGGAGCTGGCGCTGGACGCGGCAGCATGCGAACCGCCAGCCGAGCGCGAGGTGCTGCACGACCACCCAGCAGCCCCTCGCATCCATCATCCCCACCAGCTGGCTTGGTGTCGGCAGGGATCTTCGCGGGCCCAGCAATCGGCACCCGCCTCTGGTGGAGTACGCCGCATGCGTTGGACAACCCAGATGAACAGCAACGCATTGCGGGCGTATTTTGGGGCGAAAGGGGGAGAAACTGGATGTTTGGCGTATCGGGCTAGGATGCATCGTCTTTTTGCTGAGCTGGAGCCATCTTTAACCGTCACAGAGCAAAACCTGGCAGACCGAGTTCGGTATATCTTGCGCTCAAATATATTTGATGTCGCCGAACTCGAACGGCTACGACGTGAGGCTGTTCCCTCGTCGGATGAGAATGCTACGGCTGAGGATGCGGCGCCACAAATAGTAGAGCAACCCGCAAACGTGGATGCCGCCGTGAATACCCCAGTTGTGGTTGATTCAAACGATGATGGAACAGTCGCCCAGGAACTGGAATTAGAGCATATGAGGAGTACATTGGAAGAGGCGATTGTGGAAACGCGCAGTACGCCTCTCGAAAATCGACCGCGACTTCCCCGCATAGCCCTAAGCAAGCGGAATCGGGCTGTCGTGAGTGCTCTGAACCCAATGCTGGTGACCTATTTGGAAGCCAACCGGGACCTTTGCGAGACGGACTCAATTCTTTTTGGCGCCGCGCTGGCAGTCTGCCGTATCATAGGCGCCAAGGTTTCCACGGCTGGACGCGCTACTGGCCATAGAAGCGCTATCCCAGCATGGAGAAGAAGAATTGAGGAACGTATCGCAAAGGCTAGAGCTCTCATCGGCAGACTGATATGCTTCAGATCAGGCAGCAACAGGCCAAGAATTGTGCGCACCGTCAGGATGGCGTTTGCTGGGACAAATGTCAGATTGTCCCAGCCGGATATAACGCAAAAACTGACGGAGAGCATAGATGATCTGAAGCAGAGAATCGCTGCTTGGGGAAAACGGATTCGGCGATATACCGAGAGGTCGACACGGTTCAACCAGAATCGTCTCTTCCAGAGTGATCAGAAGAGGCTCTATGAATCATTGGAGCGACCAATGGTAAGTGGAACGGGTCCAGCACCGAATCAGGCCGACACTGTAGCATTCTGGCGCGGCCTGTGGTCAGAGCCCGTAAACCACAGCGAGGGCCCTTGGACGGAAGTTGTGGCGAGTCAGTGTGCGAGTATTACGCCCATGGACCCCGTCATCATAACGCCGGATGACGTAGCTGAGGCGGTCCGTAGGGCCCCGAACTGGAAAAGTACGGGGCTTGACGGGCTGCATCACTACTGGCTGAAGGGGTTCATGGTGTGTCACTCTGTGCTTGCCCCACAGTTTCAAGAGGCTCTCAACCAGAAGTCGCTCCCAAGCCTCTTCACTACTGGGATCACTCATTTGGTCCTAAAGACCAGGGTACCACAGACCCGAGCAAATACCGCCCCATCACGTGTCTACCGACCATATACACGACACTAACATCCATTTTGAGCCCGAGAATCACTTGTCACCTGGACTCAAATCAGGTGATGTCGCGCGCTCAAAATGGATGTCGGGGCGGTGGTCGTGGAACCAAGGAACCACTCCTCATTGACGCGGTCATTGGCAAAGTGGTGAAACGCAACCGTCGGAACTTCTCCGCCGCCTGGATAGACTACAGAAAGGCATTCGACTCGGTGCCCCATACATGGCTAAAGAGAGTCCTCGAGCTGTACAAGATAGACTGTACAGTTAGAGACTTCCTTGAGCAGTGTATGGGGCAGTGGAGTACGATCCTTTGTCATCTGGGCGAGCGGATGATGGCTGCGGAGAACCACATAAGGATAAGAAGGGGTATCTTCCAGGGCGATTGTCTGAGTCCAATCTGGTTCTGCCTCTCTCTGAACCCTCTCAGTACCTTACTGGAGGGCTCCGGGAGGGGATTTCAGCTACGGAGAGGAGGGACAAAAGTGACCCACCTTTTCTATATGGATGACCTCAAGTTATTCGCCTCCAGTCGCTCCCATCTTATGGAATTGCTAAACATCACTTGTGAATTTAGCAATTCCATTGGAATGGAGCTTGGGACGGATAAGTGTGCGGTCCTCCATGTTGAAAGGGGAAGGGTTGCTAACTCTGAGGGCGTAGACTTATCTATGCTCGTCAACTTAAGGACCCTTTCCGAGGCTGAAACATACCGATACCTGGGTATGTCACAAAACATCGGTATCGATGAGACTGGTATGAAACAGTCAGTTTGCGACGTGTTTTATGCACGCTTGACCAAAGTGCTTAACAGCCTTTTGTCCGGTGTGAATAAGGCACACGCATATAACGGCTGGGTCATGCCTGTCCTCATGTATACATTTGGCATACTCAGGTGGACTCAGACTGAACTTAACGCCCTGGATAGAAAAGTCCGCACTACCATGACGTCCCATAGGATGCATCATCCGAGATCGTCGGTAATGAGGTTGTACTTGTCGCGGAAGCATGGTGGTCATGGCTTCTTGAGCGCGCTCACCATGCATAATCGCGAAGTGTGCAGCCTCCGTGATTACTTCCTGGCGAGATCGGATGATCCATTCTATATGGACGTCATTTCTTGTGATAAAGGACTTACCCCTCTATCCTTAGCCAACGAGCAATGGCAAGACCCGGCAGTGCAGAGCATTTCCGACCGAGAGACCGTATGGAAGGAGAAGGAGCTCCACGGGAGGTTCTACAAGGCTCTACATGAGCCTTTCGTAGACACAGTAGCCTCCCTCCACTGGCTACGCTTTGGTGATCTCTTCGGGGAAACCGAGGGTTTTGTCTGTGCAATACAGGATCAGGTTATTAAGACCAACAACTATCGGAGATACATCCTAAAGGATGGCACCGTCGACATCTGTCGAGCTTGTCGCCATCCCGGTGAGTCACTTAGGCATGTTATCTCCGGTTGTTCGGCGCTTTCTAACTCTGAGTACTTGCACAGGCACAACCTAGTAGCCAGAATTCTACACCAGAAGCTCGCTCTGAAATACGGTCTCGTGGACCGGAAACTGCCGTACTACAAGTACTTGCCGGAAGCCGTGCTCGAAAATGATCGCGCCAGGCTCTATTGGGACCGGGCCATCATCACAGACAGGACTATTCTTGCGAATAAGCCTGATATAGTGCTGATGGACCAGGCACAGTCAAGGATATTTTTGGTCGACATTACCATTCCGTATGACGAGAACCTCGTGAAAGCCGAAACAGACAAGCAAACAAAATATCTGGACCTGGCTCACGAGGTGACCGACATGTGGGGTGGTCTGCCGACCGAAATTATTCCTGTAGTCGTCTCTGCAAACGGGCTAATCCCAGTCAGCCTCTCGGGTCATCTGAGGCGGCTGGGACTACGTGGCGGACCGCTCCAGGTTCAAATGCAGAAGGCGGTGCTCCTCGATACCGCCCGCATCGTCCGCCGGTTTCTTTCCCTTTCCCCCTAACCCTCGGCCGTTTGGTCTCCCCTGCCGAGGGCCTCCATCTGGTTGGGCTTTTATTTATTTATGTACTTTTATATTTATTTTATGTTATTGATATTTATGTATATTTATTTTTTCATTTTCATCTATAATTATATATTTATAGAACCCAACCAGATGAGAAAACTATATAGATACCCCATAATAATAATAATAATTATACTGTTTAAATAATAACTAATTTAAATTCAATTGATCATATACTTAAATATTTGCACGTCCTAACAGGACAAAACATGTTGATCTTTTATTTGATGTAACAACTTATTTACCGTGTTTTATGCAAATAAATGATTCTTGATTCTTGATTCTTGAATGATATTCAACCATGTAAAAGTTGTCTCACATTTTATTTTTACCGGTTTCATGTACTTACATAGTAGACAAAGATATTATTGTTATATATCTGTTTCTAGATGACAAAATAATATTCCTTTCTGCACAGTGAACAACACAGCTGTCTAAGCATAATAGAAACAACCATTACACTTTTTTTATGCAAACTATTATTATTAAACTTTATATTTGCTTCTAGTACAAATAATTACTACATTTTTACACATAAATATATGTAACATTTATATTGCCTATCTACTATGGCTGGTATAAATCCAGGATCTGTGTCTGGCTTAACAAAAAAGCCATTTAGTATTAAGCAACTTGCTGAATACATAAGGTACCTATTTGTACACAAATGCAGTTATATGAATTGCTCTTCAAAACCCTCTTTTAAGTCCCCCGATCCAAAGATTCTAATTTTATTTTAACATTATAATAACTTCTTTTGTGCATTTATTCTATTTATTATTTAATTTAGATTTTACTAATAAAATAAACTTATACTTTGTCACTTTTAACAAACTAATAAGGTTCTAAGACCTGTTTATTATTTGTATTTGTTTGAGGTAAAATATACAAACTTAATAATAGATTTTCACAACCTAGAATAGGTTTAAATTAATAAACTCTTATATTCTATTTGCGAATTTTACCACAAAAACTAAAAACAGAAAAACATACGTACTTGTGTCAATTAATATTTGGCTAACCTTTCTGATAACTGATAATATCCATATTTTCTTAAACATTAGTTAATAATGCTTGTAAATAAAAAACTCCATTTTGTTCTTACCATAATGATGCGACTCCAACTATGTTTTATTTCACTCGAGTGAATCGAGTGAATTTGTCCAACTCGATAATCGATAGAAAATAAATTTTACCGAGTTACCGAGTTAACTCGGCGCATCGTATAGATTCAGAGGGTGCTATATAGATATTAATTTACTTGTATATATTATAAGTCGCTGCGGGTGACATCACAAGTTGCATCCAAATTCAAACTTGCATCTGGCATGTTGTAAATAAACCTGAACTTAGTTTTATTTATGATATTGATTTATAGTTTTAATTTCATGTTGCCACATATTACTTATTTATAAAGGTACATATTTAAAAATGGTTTAACTAAAGTAATCGCTGATCTCAACTCTAGTTATAAACTTTTCTGTAAATAGTTGATTTACTCAAAGACTAGTGTACAACCAGAATGACATACATACATACTCGTAAATTAACCCGAGTGGCTAGAGTCACAAAACTCTACTCGAATCGCATCTTTATCTTACGGCCAATGCAGTGTTTGTCTACAATTTAGTGATGAAATCGACTTACTAATTCGAGCAATTTATTGATATATTATGTAATAAATAAATTGATATTAGGTAATATGTATAATAATGTTGTATCAATTTATGTTATATATGATATAAATTGATTATATATACTTTGGATAGTCAAATTATTAATAACATTAAGACTTACGTCATAACATTAGAGTGATATTATTTTATGAAGATGTCGATACGCATACCAAAAATAATATATAACTACCTATTAAGTGTGGTAATAATAATTGTGTTGTATGGAAGAACAATTATAAAAATAATTTGTGAAATATTGACACAGCTTCGTTCATCTAATTTGAATTGTTTAACTCGAGCTCAAAATCGAGTTACCTGAATTTCAACTCGAGTCGATTTTTTCCGAGTTATCACGGCACATCTCTAAGACAATAATTTTTTAAATATTACATTACCTTAGCCAATGATCAGAACACGAATGTCAAAACAACAAATTTTTTTCAGATTTCTTGTGTCCGTTTATATTTTCGAAAAATCTATAGGCCATTTACTATTATAATTTGGTGTCTTTTTTTTTGGTGTAAATATCATTAAATGACGTTAATATTTCTAGTGGGCCCAAAAATGATTGTCTCCTTTTAGAGTTATATTTTAATTTGTTAGTATGATTGTTTCCTCTGCGCAAAACAAATGGTGCGACAACTATATGTGAAAAATTACGACACCAATTGGGCTCTAAACCCATCAGTATTCAATTTAACAGTTTTGATGACGTTGATTATGAAAAAATAGCTAATTAAAAAAACAGATATCTAACTAATTAGATTTTGCTATTTCAAATTAATAATTGAGTTCAGTATAGTATAGCTAATAATTAAGTTACGGTACTTCTCAAAAATGTTCTCAATGCCAAATTTCACTGAAATAAATATTTGTTTAATAAAAACAATAGTATTATTTGCAAGTTAGACAGTTATTTTAATTCTTAATCATATTAGCATTTATAATATATATGTACATAACTGAAAAATGTATTTATTATTTCATTACTGAGAATTGTGCATGAAAAGAATAGATATAAAAGAGAATTTGACCTTATTAAGTAATGGAGATACGGAATATATAGAATATAGATACGGAACTTCCATCACTGGCATAACATAAAGTCCTCGAGCAGGCTATGTTTCGGAAATAATGGATACTAAGGAAAAATACCTTCAGTACAAGTGATGCGCATGAGTTTACTCATATTAGTACTGTTAGGGACCAGAGAAGTATTAAATTTGATACCCTTTAATAAGGGTACATGTAGGTCATATCCTTCATTGGATCACAGTGCGAACTT